CTTATGAAAAGATGATCTCTGCAAACCAAAAAGGTTCAGAAAAATGGAGATGCTCATTTATTTACATACTTTTCTAACCTCCCAAATAAACAGAAACACCTATAAAACAAATGCCCCATTTTTTATAACAACAAAAAAAAACACTGAAGTAGGATATGTGGCAGGATGTGGTTAAGTGTCTACTCACAAAGAAACTCCACAAGCAAACTTGCAAACAGGTCTGTTGAGAGGAAGTGGGGGTATATCAGTCATTCCCAAATTCCCTCCCATCCTAGATATACGCATATGCCAGGAGCAATCCATACCATCTCCACGACCACCAAATATTTCAAGGACTGGCAGGCCTTAGATGCGCTCTCTCTCTCTCTCTCTCTCTCTCTCTCTCCCTCCCTCCCTGTGGCACACATTTACAATGCCAGGCCAAGAAAAGGGGGTGTGGCCTAATCCTGCAGCTGCACAGAGGCCTGATTGGGGGCACCAACAACAGACTAGTCAACAGTGATGACATTCTGGAGATCCCTGTCTTAAAGAAATGCATGCAGAGATGGCTCTAGGTGTAAGAGGATACAGAGACAGATAAAAGTGTAATGATATTATATATAATAATATAAATATGTCATAATCCAAACAGTTTTCCTCTCATATCCCAAACTATTGGCCATCTATAAGAAGTTACTTCTTAAAGAACTTTCCTAGAGTTTATAAGCAAGCATTATATTGGATTATACAGAGACCCACAGACAACAGCTTCTAGCAAACAGATATAAAAACATGTGCCCGATATAATCTGTTCTTTAAATTTGTTAAAGCATTTGGACAATAAACTAATTTCAACCATGACTTACCATCTCCCCTGATGATAGGGAGCCTTAAAGGATGAATCAAATTAAGTCAACATAAGAACTGCGGTGTCCACTTAGAATAATATAAACTCAACAAAATATTTTTAACAACGGAGCCTGTGCAAGCTGCCTCTCACTATATGAAATTTCAAAGCTATATCTACCACAATTTTTAATACACAGTATTCTATCTACCAAAATAACTAGTTTTCAAAATGAATTGACCAAAATTTCTGAAAGCCTACAGTAAGATATTCAAACTCTCAGCCAGATTCAACAGTTTTCTACAAATGACCTCTCAAAAGTGTGTCATTCACATTTCATCCATGATTCCTTATTAGAAGGGAATTCCTTATTAGAAATTATTATTAATTATATTAATGTTTTCTCAGAAAAACATTGATGTGCAAAGGGATCTTCAGTAAGCAATTTACAAGAAACTTGTTTTCCATCAGAATCTGTGACACACTTTCTAAGTTAAGTTGACTCATCCAGAGCTATAACCAATTTCCTCAAAGAAATTCATATCAGAAGCTATACCAGGTGAAATGGGCAAAATTATGGTGTAGAGTTTATAATCCACTGCCACTACCTGAACCAAAACTATTCCAAAGCATCCATGAAAAGAACTGTCTTCCAAATGAATAGCCCCAGATAGGAAGATCAAGATGTTTCACAATACCTCTTCTCCACTATCATGAGATCAAAACTGCACTATCCAACAGATAGAAGTCACTTTTCCATCAGTTGTAAGGACAATCTCAAAAAAGTTATAAATAGCTAAGTGAAACAATGGGACCAAATCAGTTTAACAGTAAATTAAAATATGATCTATAAACTGGCCTCTCCATTTCCCTCCTCACATTTTGAAGATAAACAAAATGCACTTTGGTGTCATATCACTTTCATTCCCATACTGCAGAGCACGCCTCAAATGGAGTGGCCACCTTCCTTCCAAAATCCTGAAGAGAGAAGCTGGTAAATTTAACAGGCAGATCTTATGCACTCACCTCCCCACTCCTTTAAATGACAGAAAGACCCCTCTACTGTCCAGAAATGGTAGTCTTAGGATGACATCACTTGTCTGTAGTAGTAAACAAGGATAATGAAACTACACAAGGTAATCGGTTTCTAAGAAAAGGTCAAAAATGATGTGTCTAGGTGGCCTGCATAAGTGTGCATGTGGCTATATAAATAAATTTCTTCTACCTTGTCTCTTCCTCCCCTATGGCATGGAGTTGAAATCAGTGTACTTTTGACTCTTTGGGTAAGTGCAAATTCTCATATGTATATATATTTTTTGAAATTTTATTTATTTCTTTGACAGCGAGAGAGAGATAGCGAGAGCAGGAACATAAGCAGGGAAAGTGGGAGAGGGAAAAGCAGGCTTCTTGTGGAGAAGGGAGCCTGATGTGGGGTTTGATCCCAGGACCCTGGGATCATGACCTGAGTCGAAGGCAGACGCTTAACAACTGAGCCACCCAGGCACATATATATATATGCACGCATACACACACACACACACACACACACACACACATATTTTTTTTAATATTTAAAAAAAAACATATACATGTATGTATTTTTTTTTTTTTTAATACAAGGCCAGATACCCCTTCTAGCCAGTAAGGACCATTAAACCATTTCAGTCACTTCAGCCCACAGTTAGTAAAGTGTTCAAGGAATTCTGCCTAAGTTTAAAAAATAAGGGACTTTTTGTACCCCAAAAAAGTACATCCCAAAGTTCAAAAAAAGGTATGATTTCAGCAATCAGGACAAGATTTAGCTTAACTGAATAGATTGGTCAAAACTGAAGAAAAGAAAAGTAGGTACTCTCAAATTAAATGTAATACATTATAAATCAAACTTTCTGGGACTTTTCAGTAAGCTGAAAGGACTTAATATTGTTACTTTTAATTTTCTAAGTACAGAAAATATTAGAACCTGATTTCCTTATATCATTCCATTGACCCTAACTATTACAATACTCCAACTGAACTCTTGAAAACTTCACCTTGCTTAAAGGTGTTGGAGAATCAAAGCAACCGAAACTGCAGGGGGCAGTACAAGCATGACTTCCAACATAATTCTTAAGATTTAGGAAAATTCTTCCAGTGACCTTAGCCTTTAAACTACTAAGATACCTCAAAGATTCCACATCAAAATGATTCTTAAAGATGATTAATTGAAATTCTTCTCCAAATTTAACAGTGGGGGTGGGGGAAGAGAAATATACTAAACTCACTCCTGTGCTCCCATTATCTGTGTAACACAGCCCAGTCAAAAATAATAAAACAAGTTTGTTAAAAAAAGAACTTCCTATCCACGCTCTTAAAAAACAGAGGTCATCATTCAAAACTATAAAGCTCACTTACTCATGATTAACTTACTATTCCAGAATGTACTTTTAATCACTTTTAAGCATAAATAGGTAAATTCTTTAAAAGTATGATTGATTCATCACTGGAGAAAAATGTAATAAAATATTCAACATGACATAAAGTATGACTTGAGAAAATTAAAGTTATTCTAAGATGAAAAGTAAAACTTAATTTAGTCAATTTTGTATTCACGGTTGCCATTACAGTATTATCTCCCAGCTACTCATTAACCTTCTTTTTCTTGCCCTGGACCCACATTGACTCCATCTATGCACCACTGATAATGATAATCTCAGGACATCCTCTTACACACAAAGGAGAGTGATTTGCAATTAACAATTGAATTAAGTTAGATGAAGCTTTCTCTGTGTTTTGAGTAAAGGTAAGATCCCATGGTAAGTATATCAATCTTCTTTCTTAGAGCACTTTTCTCCTTTCTTCCACAATATGTAGTTGACCTTTTCTTGACATTGTAAAAACATGTCATTGATAGTCACCATAAATATTCACCTCATATATACCATTTCCACAGAACTTCATAATAGTAATAATTACTAACTTCTCAGGGCTTGTCATATGTTAAACTCAATCTTTAGAACTCTATGAAATAGGAATTACCCTCATATAATAAATGGAAAAACTGACTCAAGGAAGATCTGTGAGGTGCCCCAGGCTAAGGACTGGTAGAGCTGGTATAATATGCATCAGTCACAAACAGGAGGGGACCACATATCCCAAGTCAGATGTCTCAGGAACCAAACTACAAAAGAACTCGTACCCATCATAGATGTTCACCTTCCTTGGCTATAGTTGGACCCATCTGAAGGCATTAACAGGAGAGATTAAAATCTACAAAGCATGATCAAAAGTGTAGCTCCACAACTAAGCAGGGGAATATATAGAAAACATGGCCAGGACATCTCATAAGCTCCTGGGCCATTTTCACAGAGAAAAGAAAGGCCTGGCATGACTGGGTAGGTGCTCTAATATGAGAACCTAAACAAAAGGGCGACAATCCAGTCAACTTGGGAAGACCCACTCCATCTACGTCTTATCTCAAACTCATCACTGTTTTATTTTCATATCTTGATTTCCCAAGCAGTCTTCTCAACTAGAAAACTATTTGTTCACTATAATCCTCTATACAGACTGACACAATCTATCTTCTTTAAGTCTGAGCAACAAAGGCAGTCTTCTGAAGGCCTCAATATCTCCAGGACAAATTCATCCTCAAAGTTCCAGTCCCTCCCTATACAGTACACAAGTATAGTGACCTTGAAAGCCTCCCCACCGAATTTCTCCATGTCTTCAGTTAACCGGAAACCAACTTAACAATCACACTGGACAAGACACACTTCATACAGCGTGGCTTCAGGATACAAATCTAACTGTTAGGTTTATGAGAAAACTTCCCCTCCTACTTTAAACACTTCTAAACAGCCATAATTTTTTTGTTTCCTAAACAAGAAAACATGTATTACTTTTGGGGAAGGGGAATTAACTTCAGAAATCTTCCTACTGAACATAACAAAAAAAATTTAAGTATCTAAACACCAATCACTTTGGTATTCATGAAGCTCACAAAAAAGGATGGGGAGATGTTCCCAGTGAAAACAAAACCTAACACTCTGTCACAGGTTTCTTCATAACTTTATTAATACAGTTGGGAAACACTAGTCATATAACTGATGGTTAACTAACTCAATATTTTCATGTCATTGAAGCATAATGAACATAAACTCACAAATATTTTAAATAAAACACAGAAAAGAAATACCTCGAGTTCCACCAGAGCCGCAGTCACTGCATCTGTCGCAAGAGCACCAGCCTGTAGCTTTTCAATTGCCTATGAAACCAAGGGGGGAGATTATTCATTGTAAAACCACAACTCCCCAAACACCAGAAACTATCCAAAACCTTAAAGAAGTGTAGCAGACATTTAGAGTTAATAAAAATTGATCACTAGTTCCATTCCATACTTCAAGACATAACCTATTTAGATTTACAACAAGCACGGGCTTATATTCAAGATAATTCATGATACAGTTCACTTATCACTCAAATTAAGACAATGAATAAAAATTTAGCCACTAAATGCAAAGTGCAGGCGATTTAGTAAATGAATGGGCTTCATTCATCACATGGCAATTCAAAAACAGCCACAGACATTATGTCAATTTAGTTTGGTTTAAATATCCTGATAATTCAAAGGAGGATGCTTGTTGTGGTAAGCACCAGCTGCTGTATGTAAGAGATGAATCACTAAATTCTACACCTGAAACTAATACTGCACTGTATGTTAATTGGAATTTAAATAACTATTTGGAAAAAGAAAAAATAAATAAATACCTCATAATTCATATTGTATATACATAATTGAATTTCAGACTAAGCCAATAACATCTCCCACTGCTACTACACTCCACACCCCCCACTATAAAAAACAGTGACTCTCAGTCACAGAAATACTTCAGAATCTTTAGATGGACACATACATGTGACAAAACGTTTTTGGTCCTACAGTGGTTCCCACTTATCCCATTTCAGTTACACCCAGTCAACTGCGGTCCAGAAGGAAATGATCCTCTTTCTGACATAATATCAGGTTAAGACTAGCCTAGCACTATGTCCCAATTCCTAAGTCATTCATTCACTTCATCCCATCATGGAGGCATTTTATCATCTCACATCATCCCAAGAAGAAGAGGTGAGTACTGTACAGTTAGATATTTTCACAGAGAAAGAAACCATTCACACAACCTTTATACTCACACAGTATAACTGTTCTATTTTATTCTTACTGTTGCTAATCTCTTACTATGCCTAATTTATAAAGTAGACTTTAGCAAAGGTATGTATATATATATAGGAAACATACATATAGGGTTCAGTACATATGCAGTTTCAGGCATCCACTGGGGGTCTTGAAACATTATCCTCCTTGGATAAGGGAAGATTACTGTATAATATATTGAGATTAAAAAAATCATGCTCTTTTGTAATATAAACTATAGAGAGTAAAGGCCCACAAAATCACCTTACTTCTGGAGTATAAAGGAAAGAGAAAGAAGGAAAACTGATCTCTAAATGAACTATTAAAACACCAATTTAGTCAACAGAGAAAATGCTCAAAAGCTAAGAGTTATATTCCTCATTAAACTTTTAAGAAGTTCATTCACTGCGTAAATTGAGGCTGAGTATTCATTCCAAATGTATTAGGATTCTAAGACTATAGTTATATAAAACTTACTTTTTTCAGATGATGTAAACATCCTAAACTTTGAAAATTAAGATTTAAAAATATGACATAGTTTAGAGAACTTTTAGCTTTATTATAAATTTCAGAAAAACAATAAAATCCCCATAACAAAATATTCTTATTTATTTATGTGATTTCATTCGTAAGAAAAAGCGTGGATCTCTAATAAAGCATAATCTTTCTTTCAAATGGTATTTAATTATAAATGAAAAGAGCTGGAAGAGACCCATATTTACTCGATATACTAGCCACTAACGTTATATTTGCATAAAAAGTAATGGAAGCTTTGCCAATAAGAGTATATAGTCAAGATCAAAATAAAAACAAACAATATTTCTTCTGAATCCATTCCTGCCTCCACATTAAGTATTCAACAATTTAGCAAAACCTCAAAGCCAAAGAGAAAAAAAGCACAACTGAGAACAAGAGCAAAGCTAAACTCAGGAATGACAATGAATTTGTTATGATACAAACTACATAATGAAAAACAGAAGGAAAAAGCACAGGATAATCTCCCTAAGAAAAGCATCCATTTTAATTTTTTATTATTTATTTTCTTCTCTTCGTAGAAAGACACATCAGCTGTCTTTGAACTGTTTTGCCTACTCCTTCAATGGAGCTCAATGCCTTTGCAAGATTAAAAGATATATAATTATGTGCCCACAATTCCAAAAATACAGACTTAAGCAGGGAAATGAAGGGAGAGATCTAAGTATCATTTGGAGAATAAAAAACACAAAACAAAACAAAAAAGACATCCCACAAATATGAGCAAAATAAGTTCATGGTCAAAACTAAAGACCATCTTAGAAGTCAAACCTTAACATTTTGAATTTCAAGGTAAAGCTGTTTGTTGGTAGGGGCGCCTGGGTGGCTCAGTGGGTTATGCCTCTGCCTTCAGGTCATGATCTCAGGGTCCTGAGATGGAACCCCACATTGGGTTCTCTGCTCAGCAGGGAGCCTACTTCTCCCTCTCTCTCTGCCTGCCTCTTTGCCTACTTGTGATCTCTCTCTCTCTGTCAAATAAATAAATAAAATCTTTTAAAAGAAAAAAAAAAAAGGGCTGCTTGCCGGCCAAAACTGAAATGTTTCCATCAGACACACTCTGTTCATTCATACCTTCTGACAAGCTCGTTTGCATACATGTTTATATTCCTTGGCTTTGGATTCAGAATGATAACCTGCACCTGTAGCGGGGAAAAAAACAACCAGTTGTTAGTTATCATTAAAATATTAGAGATTTTACTTATATAAATAGTTCATACAAACTGATGCTCTCCTGGTGAAATAAAGCTATTGTCCTACATGCATGGAGTTTTCAAACTCTAATAGATTCCTTCTGCACATAAGCCTTTTTAATGCCATGTCTTACCTCCTTTTTCAAAGGCTATTTTCCTGCCAGAGGTACTAGAAATAGCTCATATTCCCAAACAGCCTCCACCAAGACCATTTTCTTTCAAAAACCTTTCTCCAAAGCCAGGAGATTTTTTGGTCTGGGGTTGATAACCTAGGAGGTGTCAGGGACAGAGTTCCTTCAAGTTCCTTTCTATTGACCTTTAGAAAGTACCTGCCATTTGGCAAATTACTGTTCAGAATTCTGAATTCTTAAGAGTAACTTCGAAAAACTAGGTAGAGTCTAAATAACATTTGAGGTTGAGGAGTATTACATCCCACCTCTCCACAACCACCAAATACCACCATTCCCATGCACACTTTCTATGTCCTCTCACTGTGGGAATATAGCTCACCGCGTCTCTGAAACCTCGGTGGGAGCATATTTCAGTCAGCCTATTAGAAATCCCGGTGGTCCCCATCTCTTAAACACTCAACAACTGCCTCAAGAGACTCGCTCTGAAATTTGTCTCCCTAAGAGTTTTAATACTTGCTTAGTTAGGGATTTGAGAATAATCCAAATAAGAAAGAAACCAAGAGCCCTTAAAGGGCCCTTAAAGTCTCTTGATGGTTAGACTTCTACACAAAGTTCTTTAACAGAGCTCTGAATCTCCCCCCTCACCTAAACCCCAAGGTCCCACAGGGGTCCAACAGAAGGAAGGTTAAGAACTGCGTTTCTAAGCCTCAAGGCTCCTCAAGTGGGTCTACAGAATCAGACCTAAACTTACCCCACCTTTCCTCAGACCAGAGAAAGAAATGGCTCGTGAATATATCAATCAGGGACCCAGGAGAACAGAAAAAAATGCCAAACCAACAATTAGAATATTCTAATCCTATTTCTCAGGAGAACTCTGAAACCTCAGAGAGCCTGCACCAATATTTAACAGACCTCTCTTCATGGTCTTCTAACATGTCTGTCATCTTAGATCTGGGGGCCCCAATCTTTCAGCAGTATTTCCCAAATCATGGGACACTACTACTAAGTAGGTAACTTTAGGGGATGGTTGACAGTTTTAATAGGATTTAACATATAAATGCTTCGTTTTGAATAAGGGAAAAGTCTCAGCACGGCCATAGTACATCTTTCATATCTGGTTAGCACTTTGTAATTTCTCTATCTAACAAAGGGAAGATAGCCTCAGGATCTAAGCCACCGACACATGACAGGATTCAGCTAAATTTAATCACATTGTTTTGCTTGCACTATGTTTAAAGTTATTTTCTCCTCAAGCAAGTGATACTGACATTTCATTTAAGTAAAGATAAGTTTCATCTTTCAAGTTTTAAGTTAAGTGTTCAGCTTTTAAATATGAGGTAAACAGTGTAAGTAGTATATAGATCTAGGAAAAGTCAAGAAATCTTAGACTCAAATGACTGACATTTGGGCAAGTCTCCCCTAGTTTAAGAAAAAAAAATCATTAAAATCTCTACAGTGGATGAGAAACTAAAATTTTGTACCTTAAATGTGTAAGACATATTTCTGCATAATCAGTCTATCTGACCTTCTAATAACTTAGGAGAGGGTGACCTTAATCCACGTATTTTCCTGCCATAACCCAGATTTCCTCCTGTTACTGCTGGTCCCCAGCACCAGCTTCATCTAGGAGCCATTCCCACTTAGTGAGTGTCTGAAAGAAGAGGGATACCACCATGATAGTCATAGAAAGCAATGCTGTCCAACTAATCAAAAGCTCTATGTTGCTGCATGTTACAAATTTCAAACCTTTCTTGTACATTTGTCACGTACTCATTCTGAATGCAATAACTCACTGGGTACCATGAAAGATGCACCAACATGGTATAGTAGAAGGCAGGGTTCTGCTTCCAAGTGTACTTCTAACTGGGTTATTTCTAAAACGTACCTCATTTCTTTGTAAAATCTTTTGAAAGAAAAGCAAATTGAACCTGGATTTTTTTATTCTCCTGGAATAGGTTCAGTAAGACTTCCAAAGTCATCTAGTCCATATACAGCCAGAGCTTAATGACCAGGCATGACACCAGTTTGACAAGAAGAAGCAATTCTATTCCTTACCCCATATCAAAGTTAATCTTGATTCCACCCTGCCTATCTGAGGAAAGTTAAAAGGAGATCAAGCCATTCCTTCTCTCTTCACAGAAGTCATGAATTGTAAGTAAATGCAAGCAAAAAAAAAAAAAAACTTAAGAAAAAAAAAAAAACAAGTCTGCTGGACAGACCTGAGCAGAGATACACTACTCTGAAACCCACCCCCCCTTTTTTTTTTTTTTAAGATTTTTATTTATTTATTTGACAGAGAGAGAGATCTAAAGTAGGCAGAGAGGCAGGCAGAGAGAGAGGGGGAAGCAGGCTCCCCGCTGAGCAGAGAGCCTGATGCGGGGCTCGATCCCAGAAGCCTGAGATCATGACCTGAGCCGAAGGTAGAGGCTTAACCCACTGAGCCACCAAGGCGCCCCTGAAACCCAAAGTCTTCAAATGATTGGGGACCCAGGGATTGAACTTCACTGCATCTGTCCTCCAGGTCCTCTATACTGTCAAAAGTACTACACTGGGACTTTAAGGCCCACTTACAAGTCTCAACCTGGCTCTAGCACAACCTAGCCGTGTGGCTGAAGCTACTTAATCTCTCTTCCTCACTTATAACATGAAAAAGGCAAATTAGCTCTATGACTGTGTACTATTATACTCTAAATGGCTATAGCTGGGGCGCCTGGGTGGCTCAGTCAATTAAGTATCCAACTCTTGATTTCAGATGTGGTCATGACCTCAGGGTCATGGGATAGAGCCCTGCACTGGGCTCCTGCTCAGCATGGAGTCTGCTTGAGATTCTGTCTCCCCCCTCACCTCCTCTTCTGCTCTTCCCCCACTTGAGTGTTCTGTCTCTCTCTTAAAATAAATACATAAAATCTTTTTTAAATAAATAGCCATAGTCAGATATGGGGTCAATAAAATTTTTCAGCAGCATCATTTTTAAAAACACAAACCAGAGTTTAAGAAATTACTCTGCCTGATTTTAATACTACCTAATTATATCTATTATATGGGGTAAAAGTAAATAATGGGGTAGAGAAGTGAAGAAAACATAGGAAGAGCTATCATTATAAGATCTTCCAAGCAGGAAGCAGGAGAGACCTATAATGCAGTTCCAACTCCTCTTTGGCAGTTTGCCTCCTACAGATGTGAAATTCAGTTCAGGATACTTCAAGACAAGGGGGGGAAAAAATCAATTTTATTTTCATCTTCCAACTCGCCCACTTAGAGCTTACCTGCATGTACCAACACAAAGCCCCCTCGCTTCTCCTTATGGGACTGCTTTGTTTCCAACTCTTTGACTGTTATTTTAACAGTCGAAATCTGAGATGATCTGGAAGGCACCCCTTCTCCAGAACTCATCCCCTTCTCCATGGTCATTCTCTGAGATTACCATCTTCTATTGGGAAAAGTGCATACTTCCATCCAGGAAGGAGAGGAATTACCCTAAAGAAAAACAGGCAAAGATGGTATACATTTCTTTCACTAAAATACACATAACTTACACAAATTTGTATAAAGATAACATTCCAAAAACCTAATTTTAAAGTTACTTAACTAGGTAATACAAAGAATATGAAAAAGTTAGGATTTAAATCTGTCCACAGACAATACTTACTTAAAATCATATAAACAAAAGAACTGTTGTAAAAAGACTTCATATGAAGTCCAGAGGAATTTTATCTTTCATTGTATTTACATTGAAGGAAACCTCAAAATAACTTGAATATCACTTTCTACTTCCTTTGATCCAAATGTTAATAATCTCTGGGACATTCTACAGTCACTAGTGATGCTGATTAACACCACCAAGCCTCGATATAAAGTCTATTATTACGGCCAACTTTTTCTTCCCCAGCTTTACTATGACATAACATATAAAATTATATAATTTTAAGGTATACAAAACAATTTGACACACACACATACTGTGAAATGATTACCACAATAAGACACCCAGTTTCACAATGTTAGATAAAATCTATACCCTATTCTAAACTGAGAAGTAGGGAGGGGTATAAGTCTTTCTTTGCCAATATAAAACATAAATAGTAGCATAAAAAGTGACTTAGTTGCCTAATCCAAAAAAACTGTGTTACTCAAAGTGTGGTCTGCAGATCAGGGTTTGCTACCAGTCTGCAAGAGACTTATTTTATTCATATATTAATTGGTTTATATACACATTTTCAACAATGTGTACACTTTTTATATTTTTTCTTTTTGTTTACATTTTTGAAGCAATATTATCTATTAAATATAATAAATTTGAGTTATTTTTATATTTTTTATTTTCTATTTACATTCAATTAATTAACATATAATGTATTATTTGTTTCAGGGGTACAGGTCTGTGATTCATCAGTCTTACTTAATACCCAGTGCTCATTACAATATAAACCCTTCCCAGTGTCTATCACCCCTTTATCCCATCCCACACACCCCCACCCCTCCAGCAACACTCAGTTTGTTTCCTAAGAGTCTCTTATGGTTTGTCTCCCTCTCTCAATTTCTCTTGTTTCATTTTTTCCTCTCTTCCCCTATAATCCTCTGCCTTGCTTCTTAAATTCCACATGTCAGTGAGATCATATAATAATTTTCTTTGACTCACTTATTTTGCATAGCATAATACCCTCTAATTCCATCCACATCATTGCAAATGGTAAGAGTTCAAATTTTGATGGCTGCGTAATATTCCATTATTTTTATCTTTCATTCACAGTTTCATATTTCTGTTTTGTTTGGGGCTTGGCTTTTTTTTGGTTTTAGATTTTGTTCTTTTGCATTTTGTAAAAAATAGTCAACAATGGATTGAAAAATTTTTAAAGCTGGTCTTTTATACCAGAGATGGTCTGAGAAGCACTGCAATATGGCATTTCAATTAGAAAGGAAGCAACTTCTACTCTAGCATTAGCTTTCGTTTAACTCTAAACCCATTAATGGTCAGACTGGCCTAATAAATAAAGAATTCCAACAAATGACTAAAACAAGGCAACAAAGAGAAAATGGGCAAATCCCAGTTAACAGAAAAATTGTGTAACAGTGTAAACAAATCAAAAGATGCTAAATCTCACTCAAAAGAGAGATAAAAAATAAAACTACACCCAAATGCCATTTTCAACTTGGGATGACCAACATCAAAATGATAGAAGGTTTTGAGGCTATTGAGAAACAAGAATTCTCACACAATGGCTAGTGGCAGCATAAGATGACAAAACTCAACAAGAGCATTCTGGCAAAATCAATCAAAATTACAAATGCACCCTGAAAGATATGAACCAACAATATGTCTTGATGTAAGTGGTTAAAATAAATGCAGCCACTGGAAAAAAAAATGACAGTATTCTTGATATACAATACAGATTGACTAATCTTACAGATAGTTTTGGTAAGTAAAAAAGGCACAGCACAGAAATATATGCAATGCCATATTTTGAGGGAAGGGAGAAAAAAATAATACAGCTAAGTATATATGCAAAGCGCAAATCTGGAAAAATATGCCCCAAAATATAGTATAATAGTGGTCACTCAAAGAAGATTTGAATGATGGATGGACAAAGGTGGAATGGAAATCTTATTGTTCAGAGTTTATACCTTTCAATATTGAAAAATCTGAACATACGACTTTCCAAAAAAAACACTTTTTTTATTCATTTATTTATTTATGGAAACATGAAATAACTAGCTAAATCCCAAGTTCCAAAATAGAGCAAGCCTATGAGACCTCACCTGAAAACTTCACTAAGAGGGCAAATACCATATGCTGAGGGTTCTCAACATGCATCCCACCTAGGGTGGGAATGGATAAAAACATGGCCAACCAACAATACTGGTCCCAAAAGCTTTTGTTTTGTTTTGTTTTTCTGTTTTTGCTTTTGTTTTTCTGGATCTTGAACTTCTGAGGCCATGCAAATTACAGGTAATTCAAATTTTTTAAAAAATTATAGTATTTGATCTCTAGAGTTCAGACTAAGAAGTAAAAAATAAATCATTATTGGGGCGCCTGGGTGGCTCAGTGGATTAAGCCGCTGCCTTCAGCTCAGGTCATGATCTTAGGTCATGATCTTAGGGTCCTGGGATCGAGCCCCACATCGGGCTCTCTGCTCAGCGGGGAGCCTGCTTCCCCCTCTCTCTCTGCTGGCCTCTCTGCCTATTTGTGACCTCTTTCTGTTAAATAAATAAATAAAATTTAAAAAAATAAATAAATAAAATAAAATAAAATAAATCATTATTGTAGATTAACATCGAATGTCCCTGGGATTCTTTTTTATCACATTTGTATTCATTTCATTATTACAAATCATTATTTGAAATTGATGAAGCATATTTACATCAACATACTGATCTGCAAGAAAAATGCCTAACATTTCAGCTAAGCTTTGAGGTAACATTCAACACACAAAATTTCCAGTGAAAGGAAATGTATAAGCATGTTACAGTTTTTACACAACAGAAAACAACTGTACAGCTCATTTTTTATAATGCCTTTATTTCTGAATATGCTTGAAAATGGACATTTTGCAATTTCCCACTAGTGATGATATTAAAATTCATTTTATTGTTTCTAAAACACTGACAACTTGTCCATCCTCTGCAATAGTCGCAACAAAAAGTAAACAAAAAGTTAGCATATGACCCAGTAATTTCACTCACAGGTATATACCAAAGAGAACAGAAAACACGTCCACAAAAAAACTGTACATGGATATTTATGGCAGAATTATTCCTAATAGTCAAAAAGTGCTAACAACTCAAATGTCCATGAACTGATAATGGTTAGACAAAATGTGGTACATTCATACAATGGAACATTAACTAGCCATAAAAAAATAACTAAGTACTGATACATACTACGGCATGAATGAACCCTGAAAACAGTGAAAGAAGTCAGACATAAAAGGCCACATACTGCATGTTTCCATTTATGTGAAATGTTCAGAGTAGGCAAATCTAAAAAGACAGATGTAGATTAATTGTTGCCTTGGCCTGGGAAGCTAAAGGGGAACTGGAGAGTGACTGCTAATGTGGGCAGGCTTTCTTTTGGTGACAATAAAAATATTCTAAAATTGATTGTGGTGATGGTTGCACAATTCTGAATATACTAAATACCACTGAGTTGTACACTTTAAAAGTGCATAAATTATATGATAAATGAATTCTATCTTAATAAAGCGTTTGGATTGAGAGGCGGGACAAGTGGGGGGGTGGGTAGGAAAGAAAAAAATGAAACAAGATGGGATTCAAAGGGAGGCAAACATAAGAGACTCTTAATCTCACAAAACAAATTGAGGGTTGCTGGGTGGTGGGGGGTAGTGATAGGGTGGCTGGGTGATGGACATTGGGGAGGATATGTGCTATGGTGAGTGCTGTGAAATGTGTAATCTTGATAATTTACAGACCTCTACCCCTGGGGCAAATAATATATGTTAATAAAAATAATTTAAAAATAAATAAAAAGACCAATAAATAAATAAATAAAGTTGTTTGGGAAAAACAAGTTTCCTGATTCCCATAAACTATATCTTTTCCCAAAAGTGTATCTTTTCCAAGTTACCAAACCTAATGACCTTTTCTTACTCTCATGCTTGCAACCTTTGTTCTCTACATCCCCTGCTCTTCTTGGCAAGCATGCCAATCTACCATCCTAGCTGTTCATGTCCCCCCTGACCCTTCCCAAGCTTGTCCTCTTACATGACTCCCTGTCCACAGGTCTATTCTCAAATGTCTCCTTCAGCAATTTCATCCACTGCCAACCTTTCAAAAGAATCCTCTCAGTAAATCAGATTATTTGTAACTCTTTATCTTCTGCTTCTTGAGCTCTAGCCACAAGTCTCCTGGATAGCTTAGTTCAACCTGGATCCTCTTCACTCTTAACCTACCCAAAACAATCTCATTTTTCCACAGAAATCTAGTTATTTCCACATCACTCCTTATTTTTAATAGCACTAATCCTTTTCTAACTTACCTTGAAGTCATCCTGGACTGCACCCACTTTCCAAATCTTCCAAATTTCTCCCTCAAGATTTAACCTCCTTTCCCCTACTGCCTCCACCTTTGTTCAGTTCACATACCTCTTAGCATAAATGTTACAAAAGCACTTTAACTTTTCTCCCCAAATCCAGACTATAGGAAAACAACCAACTACAAAAGGCTGCCAAAATAAAATCTCATAAAGGACAACTCCAGTCAAAATGAACGGCATGCCAAAAGACATAAGCAGACAATATACACAAGAGGAAATATATGGGATATCCGATATTAAGGAAAGAATATTCAGAGAAATAGAAATAAAAATGGAATCTTCTTGGGGCGCCTGGGTGGCTCAGTGGGTTAAAGCCTCTGCCTTCGGCTCAGGTCATGATCCCAGGGTCCTGGGATCAAGCCCCACATCGGGCTCTCTGCTCAGCAGGGAGCCTGCTTCCTCCTCTCTCTGCCTGCCTCTCTGCCTACTTGTGATCTGTCTGTCAAATAAATAAATAAATAAATAAATCTTTAAAAAAAAAAAATGGAATCTTCCTAACTAGCACTGTACTGCCACCATTTTGAAAAGGAATTTATCAGGAAGTATCAAAAGCCTTAAAATATATAATTTTGTATAAACTACCTTTCCAGAGATACTCTATGTATAAACTAGTCTATTAAAACATAAGTAACAATACTACCATGGATACCTCCAAGGAGAACTGGGAGACTGAAGGGCAAAATGAAAAGGAAACTTGATTTTCTCCTAATAGCCTTTTGCATTTGATTTTTTTTTTTAACCAGGTACTATCTACTAAAAATATTTAAATTAGCCATCTCTAAACTAAGATGAACCCAAATTAACCTGATTATCAAGGTCAGAAGAGAAGCTCAGAATAAAACATTTTTGCTCCAGGGACTTTCAAGGCACTGATTTTAAGATCTAAATCTTGACCCCAGTTCTCTCAAAGACTTTTATTTTCCTTCTGTATGTGATGACACTTTTTCTCTTTATACCATTTAAAAAACTATGACATGTCCTGTTTGCCCCAGTGTTGAATTTTTCCCTCTAGATTTACTTAGTCTCTTAGAAGCAGTCGAAAGAATAAGTCAGGGAATCCATCCATCTTACAGCAAAAGGCTTTTATAGAAATCCAGCCCTTAAGCAATAGCAACTGATTAATAAAGAAGCATTCTGCTGCTCTTAACATCTTGACATTGAAGGTTTAATGCCTCATTCAATGAGCTCCAAAACACACTCATTTCATCTTTGACCCAGTAATTTCACTTCTGAGAACACTTTCTACCAAAATAACTTCAAAAACAGAAAAGGCTTTATGCCCGTTATGCTGTGTTTAACACAAGATAATTTAAAAAAACAAAAATCTGGAAGTGACCCAAATGTCCAACATAGAGAAATGGTTAAAAAAATGATAACCTGTATTATTTATGGTCAATTGGTTTTCAACAAGGGTGCCAAGACCATTAAATAAGGAAAGGATGGGGCGCCAGGGTGGCTCCATCAGTTCAGCATCCGACTCTTGATTTTGGCTCAGGTTATGATCTCGGAGTCATAAGATGGAAATGCACGTCGGGATCTATGCTGGGTGTGGAGCCTGTTTAAGATTCTCTTTCTCCCTTTCCCTCTGCCCCCTTTAAAAAAATTTAAATAGGGAAAGGATAGTCTTTTCAAAAAATGGTGCTGGAAAAACCAGATAGGCACTGGATTCATTTGATTCAAATGAACCTGGATTCCTACCTATGCTACCTACCTATTCCTTGATCCACACAGACCAAGAACTAAATGCAAGAACTAAAACTGTAAAGCTCTTAGAAGACACAGTAGTAAATCTTCAAAATCTTGTATTTGGCAATGGTTTTAGACATGACACCAAAAGCACAACCAACCAAAGAAAATATAGATAAATTAGAATTCACCAAAAGTTTAAATGTTTGGGGCACCTGGATGGCTCAGTCATTAAGCACCTGCCTTTGGCTCAGGACATGATCCCAGGACGGCATTGGACACTCTGCTCAGCAGGAAGCCTGCTTCTCCCTCCCCACTCCCTCTGCTTGTGTCCCTCTCTCACTCTCTGTCAAATAAATAAATAAAATCTTAAAAAAACAAAAAACAAAAAACTCTTCTATTAAAAAAAAAGAACTCATACAACTTCAAAAATTTTTTAAAATTCAATATAAAAGTGAGCATAGGAATTGGACAGACATTTCTCCAAAGATAACACAAAGGGCTCATAAGCATAGGAAAAGATGCTCAACATTACCATCCTTCAGGGAAATGGACATCAAAGCCACAGTGAGGTACCAACATCATAGGTATACCTCAAAGACAAATATTAAGTTTTAACAAGGATATGGAGAAATCAGAACTCTCATATCCTGCTAGTGCAGACCACTTTCAGAAACATCTGGCAGTTCCTCAAAAAGCTAAACAGAGTTACCATATGACCCAGCAATTCCACTCCTAGATATATAAGAGAAATGTAAACATATATCCACACAAAAACCTGTATATGGATCTTTACAAAATTATTCACAATAGTCAAAAAGAGGAAGCAACTCAACTGTCCATTAACTAATGATGGATAAACAAAATGTGGGGTGTGTGTGTGTGTGTGTGTATAATGGAATATTATTCAGCCATAAAAAGGAATGGAGTATTGATACAAAACACAACATGGATGAACCTTAAAAACATTATGCTAAATCTAAAAAGGCAGATACAAAAGGCCAGGCGTTCTATAATTCCATTTACCAGAAATGTTCCAAATAGGAAAATCTACAGACACAGAAATAGGTTAGTGGCTGCTAGGGACGGGAGGAGCAAGGAGACGGGAGAATCTAATTAGTGGTTGCCAGGGACTGGGGGAGCAAATGGGAAGTGAATGTAATGGGTAGAGTTCCTTTTGGAGATGATGAAAATGTTCTGGAATGAGACAGTGGTAATAGGTGCACAACTTTATGAATATAGTAAAAACTACTAAAATTTACAATTTAAAAGGGTAGGTTTATGGTATGTGAATTGTATCTTAATAAAAGATCGATCTAGGCAATGGACGCAATGTACAACAATTATACTTTCTGGTTATCATCATATCTAACACAAGCTATGATCATAAACAGGTTAAAAATGTTATAAAAAAATAGAGAGGGATCAAAATGCTGGGTTGGTGAAACTGTAGGTGATCGCTTTTTAATTATTCCTGCATTTTCCAGATATTCATTAATAAGCACGCACTGCTTTTTACAAATGGGAGGAGTTTTATTTAAACAAACCAAAAAGGAAATTATTAAACTCCCGAGTGTATAAAAATTCCTTAGCTTAGTGTTCAACGATCTCAGTCACATGGTCCCGAAAATACCTTTCATTTCCCCTCCCCTACAGGGGCGAGTCAAGTTACTCTCTCCTTCCGGAAACACGATGCCCTCTATTTCCCGGGCACCTCCAGCTCCTGTTTTCCACCCTCCTCTCCAGCTGCTCCTTCTCCATCTTCTCGGCCCTTGCCTCCTCTGCCTCGGGACCAGTAAATGCTAATGTCCTGAGAGACTCTAACCAGGCCGCTCTAACACCGCGGGACTGCTCTGGCCCCAACCCGCCACGCAGGACTAGCGCGCACACCCTCGGGTCTCTGCGAGCCTCTGACTCAGAGAACCCCGCAGCCCGCGAGTGCAAAGTTAGTGAAGGACAGCGAGGACTGCCCGCACACAGACAGTCCCTTCCCCGGAGAAGGAATAAGACTGCCAGGCTAGTGCCAAGGCTGAGAAGGGACCGGCACGGGCGCCACGCGCGACCGAGGGGTCGAGGGACGTCCCGGATCCGCTCCTTCAGCACCGCCCCAGGCAGTGGGCATCCTGCGCGCCGCCCCCTCCCGGCCCCGAAGAGGATGTCCCAGCGAGCGCGCGGGCCTGGACAGAGGCAGCGCCGCAGCAGCGGCAGCGGCGCGGACAGCGTGAGAAAGAGAGACACTCACCAGCGTCAGCCCCGAGCCCTCACAGCACCGGAAGTAGTCACCCGCCCGTTGCCAGGGTGAGGAAGCGGGGCTGACATCAAGCTTTCCCATTGGGTATGCGCGTAGCACGTGGCCGGAAGCAAACGCCCACGCGAGGCTCAGATTCTGCCCACTGCTTCGGAACGCTGCACCTGGCGGGTGAAGTTCCACGCAGACTTCACCTGGAGCCTCATTCTGAGCTGCGCAGGCGCCGTTGCCAGTCTCTTGTAACCCAGACTTTTAATGAGCCAGTCCCCGCTTCCGATCCAAGGGGTTGGCAGACCAGCGATGTGATAGGAAATGAAGTTAAAGTAGCCATGATTTATTGAGATGTCACTTCAGAGCTTAAATTTTTTCAGTCCTTGCAGCCTCCCTGTTACAGTAGGGAAAACTGGAGTTATGCCAGGATTCTATGTGGGAGGTGGGGGCCCGCCCTGCACTGGAGAGAATCAAAGTGTGGATGGCCTTTCTTTTACCGTCTCGCTTCTAAGAGCAAGACCAGTAACAAAGTAATCCACTTAATGTTTCCTTGTAACTATTAACATGGGTCCTTTAACAAATAACCACCTTTAAGCCTGTTTTAGAAAGCAGAGATTGAAAGTAGTAGCTCTAAGTATGGTCCCCAGATCAGAAGCTTAACGTGACCTGGGCCCTTACTAGAGGTACAATTTATGAAAAGACGTTCCACCTGGGGGGGGGGGGAATTATTTTAATTGCAGATAAAAATAGCAATCCTCTTCTGATTATATAAAATTTTAGGACTGGTACTATATCGTGTTGGTGAGGATTGAGAAAACAATCACTCTTGTTCATTGCTGGTGCAATAAAGACTTGCACAAATTTGGGGGTGACAGTTTGATAGTCTCTACTGCAATTTTAAATGTGCTTACCCTTTGACCCAGAATATCTACTTTCAAGAGTCTACCTACAATATTCCCATATGTGCACCAAGGTATATACATCTATTCATGCAAAAAGTATTTATCAAATAATTTCTACAAGCTTGGCACTGCTCGAGGAGATTTATTGAAACATAGTTCATGTAGGAGAAAAGAAAAAATGGGTGTGTGAATTTCTATCAATATGGACCAGTTAATTCAGTTATAAAAATTCAAACTATATGAAGATGCAACCATTTTTTAAGTACTCAGCTGAAAATCTATCAAAGACATGATTTAAAAATCCAAAATATCTTACATCCCATTTATGTATGCATGTCTGTTTATTTTTATGTATATTTACATATACATACATAGACAGTATATGTGGAAAATGGTTAAAAGGTTATGTACCAGAATATAAATGAAGCTACTAACAGAAATAAGATTGGATTAAGTTAGGGGTGAAATCGTTTTTATTTTATTTATATCAATAACTACAGAACACTTAAAAATGCTGGATAAAATATAGCAAATATTGTTGTACTCAGCTAAAAGAGACCAAAAAACGGAGACCAAAAAAAAGAAAAAGAAAAACAATGGAGAATCCAGAGTAGGGTGCCAGTGCTGAAGGCTCATCTCTACTGAGAGCACTTTCATATAGCAGGAGGCTAAGGTTTGGGTTTTTAAGCCCATAAGGTAACAAACAGAAATACACACACACACACACTCACACACACCCTTAGTAAGAACAGAAACAGGAGAAAGTGAACATTGATCTCAGGCTTCTGGTTTTGAAGTCATCAGATAAAGAATATAAAGTAAATAGTTCTTAAATGTTTGTAAAAAATAAGTGAGGGAATAGAAAACCAAGCAAAGATTAAGAAAATACTCCCCCCAAAAAATCTGATAGAATTGAAAGTTAAATAAATAAAAGATCTAGAAATACAAAATTGTTTATTAAAAAAAGAATCCACAGTAGATGGGCTAAACATTACTTAGACACAACCTGAGAAAAAATTAAGCAAACTGGAAGGTAAATATAAAGAAATTACCCAGGATGAGGATCAGAGAGACAAAGATATGGAAAGTATGGATGAGAATATAATAGATGTAGAAGATAGACTAGTAGGGCTAGAATGTCTAATTTACATAACATTAGAATTCCAAGAACATAAAAACAAACAAACAAGGAAGAGGCAGTATTTTAAGAGATAATAAATATGAATTATCCAGATTGATGAAAAACAGAAACTCTCAGATTCAGGAAACTCATGAGTCTCAAGGGGGATAAATAAAAGAAATCCAAACCTAGACACATTATGCTGAAATTTCAGAAGATCAAAGACAAAAACATCTTAAAATCAACCAGGGACAAAATACCTACAAAGAAATGATTAGACTGAAAAGAGATGTTGCAGTTTAACAATTGAAAATAGAAGATGAAAATAGTATTTTTGAATTACTGAAAAATGTCCAAAGTACTGAGGAAATGTCAACCTAGAATTGTTTACCCAGCTAAACAAGCATTCAGGAATGAGAATGTAATGAGGATATTTTCAGATAAGCCCAAACTGAGTAACTTTACCATAAACCAAATTATTTATAAAGGATACAATGCAGGCGGAAGAAGAGAATTCCAGAAGAATTATTCAAGAAGAAATAGAAGTTGACTTTAGGGATCCCAAGTTCTGAGCCTAAGATTCTCACGAGAGGTTTACAGAGTTGTCTTTATTTCCACAGACTTAGTCTCTAATCCTCTGATATCTATGTTACTTACTTTTTATGGTGAAAGTATTTGACATATCACCAGTAACCACGTTCTATGTTTGTAATAGGTCATCTTACTGTTTTTGGTATATGAAAGTGCAGCAGATCTTTCTTCTGAAATGGCTGCAACATAATACTGTCCACCTCACTTGCCCCTTTGAATGTTGAGACTTTGATACTTCTCCCATCTAGAGGCAAGTCTATGTTCCCTACCCTTGAATCTGAGCCAACTTGTGACTATAGCAGAAACCACACCAGGTGACTTCTGAGGAAGTTTGCAAAAGCAGTGCAGTTCTTTATGATTCTCTCTTGCAATGCTTACTTTTAGATCCCAGCCGCCATGCTCTGCAGAAGCTCAAGCAGCCACATGGGAAAACCACGTGTGGAAGCTGTGACCAATGACTCCAGATAAGGTCCGAGCTGCAGCCAGCACCAACTGCCAGACAAGTAATTGAATGGGCCTTCAGAAGATTCCAGTCCTCAGCCATGGATTAACTTTCAACATTTATGTCTTCCCAGCTTAGCAATCATAAGCAGAAACAAGCCATCTCCACTTACTTGCCCTTTCCAAATCTTGATCATAGTAATATAATAAAATGGCTTTTGTTTTACATCACAAGATTTACACTACTAGTAGTACTTGATCACAGGCTCCAGCAAAGTTCACTGGCTCTTATATCGAGGGTATCATGCCAGGGTCCTGACACTGAAAGTCTAAGAAAGGTTAGCAGTAGCTAGGAGGATAACCTCATGGTTCTGGACAACTCAACTGCCTCCAATTTGCCCACCTTATCCTCACTAACTAGTCATCTCTCTTCTCTGTCTTTTGTACTCTCCCACCATGGGTAACCTGGGGTTTTTTTTTTTTCTTCTTTATTTTTCTTCCAGTAACTTCTAAGGGTAGAAGGGAAAGCTTATTACATAGTAATAGTAAGAGTAAGCATTTATTACATGACAGCAGTAATTGGAACAGGTGTTGTTACCTGGAAGTGGATAAACACCATAAAAAAGCATAACAAAAGAACATAACAAGAGTAAAACATGTGGCATTGACTTTGAGACTACGTGAAGCAGCAAGGGTAGGAGGGGATCCTAAAGGAGAGTATCAGAAATCTAAGAGGCCTTGAGGAGGGTGCACCAAGGGCACAAAGGAAACTGAGGAAGATGTTGTTGAAAGTCAGAGAAAAGGATCCCTTGTTACATAGGACCAAAAGGTTCAACCCCGGCTTTGGGGAGCAGATACAAACCATCCCCAGGGTACCCTGCCTGAATTCCTGACCCATAGACTCTATAAGCATAATAAAATGGTGTTTTTTTTTAATGTCATTGAATGTGGAGTGGTTTTTTACACAGTGATACTAAATGGAACGGGCAGAAATAGAAGAAAAGATGTTTGGATTTTTCAAATGCATAGAGAAGTCACTATGTTGTACATCTGAAGCTAATATAACATTGTGTGTCAACTATACTCAAATAAAAAATTATAAAAAAGTAAATTAATTAATGAATTAGTTAATTTAATTTAATGGAAAAATGCACAGAGAGGCTCCCTTCCATTTCTTGGACAACATTGTTACCTTCTGTGTTCCCAGAATTTAACTACAAGTGAAAATCACTCCCAGTCCTGCTCTGCACACCTTTATCTTGGGAGTCCGGCTCAAGCATTGTTCTTGCCATCCCCTAGCAGTTTAAGTGGGAGTAACAAAATTCCATCTAACCTGTCTTCAGAGCCAATTTTTCAAATTTCTAACCTGTGTCAGTGCAATTGCTCTCAGGTCTTTTGAAATATTAAGGATGACAGTTACCTAGCTAATCAATTCACTGGGTGTTAAATATAAAAGAAAGGCATCTACTACTTAATTTCCTTCAAGAAAAATCTCCATCTCCTTATTCCCCCTTTTTTCAAACTCCAACAAAAAATTCATTGAGGAAAAAGATCAGGGGACATGCATGGACCGTAAGCTAGGAAAACCGTAATGCACATTGTCCAGGATGCTGAGTGTAACTTTGTCACTCTTTTTAAAATAAAAGGACCAGCCATGTTCTTTCCCCTCCCTCCAATGTTAATATCTGCGTTTGCTTGATCATCTACTTCTGTGAATTCAATGCAATTTCAGAAAACATAAAGCAAATTATTTGCTTGGAATTATTAACTCTTATTATTTGATGATGTTTAGAACCAATAACATGTCTCCACCTTTATAATCTTTACAAAGAAGAATGTGCCTGATAATATTTGGAAGAGAACTGGGTTATTTAGCTTCTACTGCAATGTTTCTCTTAAGTGAGGAGGACACTGAAGGAAAGTGATTTATATACTAAGCTATAACTTTTTTTTTACTTACTACGGAAATTTTCAAAGATGTGCAAAAGCAGAGAGGATCGTGCCATGGCATCCCATTTTCCAACACGAATTACTCTGTAGTTATCTGGGTTTTTTTCTGGCTGCTCACATTTTGTTAGCAGATGCCTCTGGAGTCTCTACCACATCTCCTTGGCTCTGATTTTAGCTCTAGCAGGCAGCTCCAACTTGCACTGTCAGCTTCCCTGGCTTTCTGCTTTCTGGCCCCAGGCCATTTCTAATGCACAGTAGCTTTCTCAGCCTTAATGCAATGAAATGACTCCAGGCTGTGCCTGGGCATTAACATTCCCCAGGGCAGCCCTCCACTATGACCAGTTTAAGCCTTGCACCTTCTATCCTTCAACCCAATTCTGAAAGTCATTCCTGTAAATTTCGCAGAGTTCTCAGGGTACTGAGCCATGCTAGCCTACAGCAGCAAGTGATGAAGTATGTTCAGTGCTTCCTGCCTCCCTGCGTTATGCTTAGTTCTCACTTGGGCTTCCGACAACCACTTCCCAAAAACCTTCCTACACCTGAGTTCCTTTCTCAGGGTATGTATTCAGGGGAAACCAAACAAAGACTGGCATCCTTCAACCAGCCATATCTTTTGGTTGTGGTCAAAGTCTAATATCCATTCCTGTGACAATCATTTTGCAGACAGGACAGATATTTTTCAAGATGCTGGCCAATGTGGCTGACTGCCGTAGAGTGGTTAGGAGCGGCGCAATTCTGCTTTTCTACAAAAATTAAGAGTAGCATTTTCTTCCAATATCCTTGCTTAGTTAGAGAGGAAGGAAAGAAGGAAGAAGGGAGAGGGTGAGGTGAGAGGGAGGAAGCTTAAGGAAGAAAATGAATGACCTATTCCCTCTGACAATTTTTACTACAGAATTAAATTTTGCTTTAGGAGCTGAACACAGATAACTTCACCCACCCTATCCAAATTCTGAACTTTACTTCCAAATCCAAGACTAGAGCCATTGTAAACCCATGAGAACCCTTAGGATGTGTCAGCAAGTAAATTGGCTGTCAGCACCTGAGACCTGGGAACACACCCAGTCCCCCAGGGAAGCTGGACCCAAGGGTCAGAGGACAGCACTATTGTAGCCTAGTGTCTGTAATGGGAAACAGATGCTTCCAGCTGTCACCTGCCATCAGCCTGCTCACAGACTGTTTTTGGCCTTGGCTCCTTCTGGACCAATCCAGCTGTGTAAACACACTTTTATCCACAAGCTTTCTGTGGGAGCAGCCAATGGATCTGCCTTTTTTTTCTGTTAGAAGAGCCTGCCTGTGTTGAACGCAAGGCTTAACTCATTAGAATAACAATTAAACAAAGGTAGGGTGTTGGGTTTTTTTTTTTTCTTTTCCTTTTCTTTGTAATTTTTAGCCTCTATTTGCTTTGCTATCAGGATGTCTGGGTGGCCTTAGCTGATGGTTAGTCTACTGTAAGCTAAGGGGCAAAGGGAATCTGTTTGAAATAAGAATCCTTTAAAGAAAGATGGAGAGGGAGTATGGGAGAACAGGATGCTTGAGTTCTACAAGTAACCACATGTCTTTGGGAATATCACTTAACTTCTTTGGGTCTCATTTTCCTTAATCTGTGAAATGAAGGGGTTAGACTAGCTTATCTGTACAGAATTTTCCCATTACTAATATTTTAAGTAATTTGTCGTTTTCATGGCTTCTTAAACATATTTTTTAAAAAGATTTTATTTATTTATTCGACAGAGAGAGATCACAAGTAGGCAGAGAGGCAGGCAGAGAGAGAAGAGGAGGAAGCAGGCTCCCCACCAAGAAAAGAGCCGATGCGGGTCTCGATCCCAGGACCCTGGGATCATGACTTGAGCCTAAGGCAGAGGCTTTAACCCTCTGAGCCACCCAGGTGCCCCCTTAAACATATTCTTTCATTGAACAAATACTTTCTGAGCATAAACTTGGGTGCCTAGCAGTCTGGACAGCATTTTCAAAATATTAGCACTAGAAGACTTCTCAGAGCCCGGCTATGTAATAAACACTTTCTTTTCTCTCTCCAAGTTCTCTTCTTTCTTCCCCCTTATAACCATGTTCCTTGGACTATGGAGACTGACTCCTACTCCCATTTCATGTGTCTTTGCTGGGTCTCCCAGCCAGAGTCTGGAGCACGTGTGAACACTTGATCCTGGTGTAGCTAATCACATACAACCCTAGAACTGTAAGTTCAGGCTCATGATTCATTCCAGGCCAATCAAAATTCTTTCTGAAGTCTCATGTCGTGGATTTTTAGAGAGAGAGAGTCCTCCATTTTTTTTTAAAGATTTTATTTATTTATTTGACAGACAGAGATCTCAAGTAGGCAGAGAAGCAGGCAGAGAGAGAGGAGGAAGCAGGCTCCCTGCTGAGCAGAGAACCCGATGTGGGGCTCCATCCCAGGACCCTGAGATCATGACCTGAGCCGAAGTCAGAAGCTTTAACCCACTGAGCCACCCAGGCCCCCCTCCTCCGTTTTTTTTTAAGTAGTCTCTATGCCCAATGTGGGGCTCAAAGTTGTGACCCCAAGATCAAGAGTCATGTGCTCTACAGACTGAGCCAGCCAGGTACCCCAAGACAGAGAATCTGCTTTTATATGTGGGGTTACTAAATTGAAAAAGAGATAGTATCTGTGGCCATTCCCTTTCCCTGTTGCATGGGAAAAGCCCAAATGGAGTTGGAAAAACTATGTGTTGGGAAAGACCAACACAGAAAAAGAGGAGATGGGGAAAAATTTCAAATGGTCTAGTTTGAAGGCTTTTCCCTCCCAGGTATGTGTACCAACCTCTTTCTCAGCCACTTTCAGATTGCTTTCTGTCACTTCCAACCAAAAGAGTCCTGACTGATACATAGTCAAACTATTTCTTTTTAATGTAATTCTCACAGTGGTTGGGATTTGCCCAATTTTAGCTCTGCTAGTGAGTAGCAGAGCTAGGACCTTCTGGTTCCCAAACCAATAGATTTTCTAAATCACAGATCTTCTGACTCCCAAATCAATTCTTTTATTTTTCTGTTTCTTCCAACTTTGTATGGTGAAAATTTCCAAACATGCAGAAAACTTAAAAAAACAAAAAAGCAGCTCCCTATATATCTACCACCTAGATTCACCTATTACATTTAGCTGAGCTTGCTTTATCATATATCTAGCCATTTCTCTATCCAGGCAAAAAATCTATCTCATTTTTAAAATGAGTTTCAAAGTAAATTGCAACCAGTCCTCTTTTTGT